ATATGTTTTTTTTTTTTTTTAAATCACACAATCCTATAAAAATTAAAGCTGTTTGGAGAATTGCAACTTCTGCAGTCGGGGCTCTAGCAACCACTAAGACGTGAGACGTTTGGGGGGGAGTCCTGTGTGCTGAACGCACAGACACGGTTGGTTAGACGGATCGCCGCAGCGGCTCGCATGCCGCCTCACTGGCACATGTCCCGTCCTGCAGGGGTGGAGCGTATCGACGGCTGCCTCTGATGCTCCGTCAGCCTCACAACCAGAACGGCTGCAGCGAGCGACGGGAGAGGAGGAGGGGGGTTTGTCTGACACCGACGAAGGACGAGGCAGCTGGGGATTTTTTGTTGTTGTCGGACTGCTGGATCTGTGTGCTTTCCCCGTGCTTAATAAACGCTCACTTCTGGGAAATATTATTTGACTTCTGGGGATGTACACAGATATGTTTTGTGCGTGTCTTTCAAAAGCCGTGAGATTTGTATTTTTTTAAGGAGTGTTTGAACTGTGGAGTTTTCCCTCGTCATCAAATGGATGCAAGTGCGTGAGGGGAATACTAATAAACGGCGCGCTGCGTCCTGCGGAGGAACGCCGCTTCCCTTTTCCATCGCCGCTCCAAAGGGGCCAAGCAGAGCCCATCGACACTGTTTGCCGACCTGCGGGATTTTACTGCCTCAACCCAAGAATTAACTGAGCTGTGGAACCTTCGTTTCCAGTTTTTTGGGGGGAGGGTGGATCCAATCCTCCTGCGTGGGAGGGGGTGGAGGGCGCATCAAAATGGGGAACAGCTTCTCCAACATCTCTGCCTTCCAGTCACTTCACATCGTCATGCTGGGCTTGGACTCTGCCGGTAAGACCACCGTTCTCTACAGGCTGAAATTCAACGAATTCGTCAACACCGTCCCCACGATCGGCTTCAACACGGAGAAGATCAGGCTGAGTAACGGCACGGCGAAGGGCATCAGCTGTCACTTTTGGGACGTGGGTGGACAGGAGAAGCTGCGGCCCCTGTGGAAGTCCTACAGCCGCTGCACGGACGGCATCATCTACGTGGTGGACTCGGTGGACGTGGACCGGCTGGAGGAGGCCAAGACCGAGCTGCATAAGGTCACCAAGTTCGCGGAGAACCAGGGCACGCCGCTGCTGGTCATCGCCAACAAGCAGGACCTGCCCAGGTCCCTGCCGGTGGCCGACATCGAGAAGCAGCTGGCCCTACACGAGCTCGCGCCGTCCACGACGTACCACGTTCAACCCGCGTGCGCCATCATCGGAGAGGGGCTTCACGAGGGCATGGACAAGCTGTACGAGATGATCGTGAAGAGGAGGAAGTCTCTGAAGCAGAAGAAGAAGCAGCAGCGGTAACGTTGGCTGGAGCTGGACTCCGTCTCTGCCCGACCTGCTGTGAGGAATCCTGGGTGCTGCCATTTGCGGCGCCCGGTTCGGGTTGATTTCCGGTTTGCATCCATCCTGTGTTAGGAGTTAAACCCGTCAAGCCCTTCTGAGTGATGCTTTTGCACACAGACGGTTGCAGAGTTGTCAAAGGAACATGAAACCAAAAAACAAACAAACAAACAAACAAAAACAAAAACAGAGACCTGTGATCCAGATACTTTGTGAGAGAAACGGGCTGGCCTGTTTTATCTGCTGCTTTGTCTACAACTTTACAGGAACAGTTTGGCTGCTTTGGATTTAGATTCTGTTAAGTCATCTCACCTCCAGTAGACAGATGTCTTATTGCAAAGAGTTGGTTAAAAGTGAGGAAATTGTAAGAGTGATGGAAGGCTAACACTAGTCAGACAGATCCGTAACGATTTAGAGCAACTGAAACTGGAAATGTTTACATTTGTTGGGTTGAACAACTACATCTTCCCACGAGAGGCCCATTAAGTTTGCTCCTTAACATTCAAAGAAAGTTACTTTTTTTTTAGCTAAAGTTGTGGGTTGAGGCTGTCGTCTAGGCACAAGCTGGTCAGTCATAGATTAAAATACACCTGGCATCAATTTTTCCACCTTTTGTCCTAAATCTGTTTGTTAGTAGCTTGTATCATAAAACTGTGTTAGTTTTACACAATATTACACTCAACTGTTTTTGTGATTAACGGATGTTATGCACACACAGCATTTTATAGGTTCCACCCCTCACAAAACAACAAATAAATAATAAAAAAAGAGTAGATGATAAGAATGTTTTCATCTGTAGTTATAGGATTTTTTTTTCCAACACAAAATTGGAAAACAAAGATGTCATAAACCTAACATTCTTTTTAAATATTCTGGGTTACCTCTTCCAAATCAAAGCCTAACACGGTTAAAGTAATTCTTTGGGTTTTGGAAAAGGCTGCCTATCAGCATCAACTATTTTTTTTTTTTTTTTTTTTTGCAATTTCCAGCTAACTGTGCGGATTAATAGAACAGACAGCCTCAATCAAACTTTAGCCTACTAATGTGAGCAACGTTTGGAGAGAAGCTAGGAAGTTTCTTAAAGGTGGAGTTACATAACATTTATGAAAAATATACGTTTTACATATTTATTGAAACTGTCACCATGTCATAACAGCATGTTATGACACAGATGATTTGAGAATAAACTGTGCTCTCCTCTGACCTCTACTGAACTATTGCCCATCTTTATCTAAATCTAATGATTATTGAAGGGCAATATATCATACAGACTTCATGATCTGTACTCTTTTGGTTCAACGTAGTTTTTATTTTATGTTGCGTTTAGTTTTTATTCAAGTGCATTTTTTTGTTAACGGGAGTCTGAGAGTCCATTTTATTTTTGTTTACGGTTGTTTTTGTTTATTTCGTTTACCAGTTCCAGAGTTTAGTGCTCTTTTGAAAATGAAGTGTATTTATTTTTGGCAGGATGTGGATTCATTGTTCTGTCATTACCGTTACATCAATTTAAAATTGTCTTCAAAGAATATTGTTGTTTATCGCAGTACTTTTTGGGACAAGGCTAAATTTGTTATGGTGACATTTCACAAATTATCTGTATCGTACCAAACTGTCACAGTATATAACTTATAAAAGTTATAAACTTTTATAAGTTTTAACTTATAAAAGTTATATACTGCAGCTTTAAAGTACGAGACAGCTCATTGCTGCCAATGAGGAGCGCATGAACAGTTTCAGTTCATTTTTACGAAAAGCTGTGAAAACAAGGTCTTTAAAATATAACAGGAACATTTCAGCAGTCAGACTTCCCCCTCTTTGAGGATTTCATCACTTTTCTTTAAGCTCACTGTACTTTGACGTGGACAAATTTCTTATAGAGCAATTTTTATCAGCGTCTGGAATGCAGACATGACTTCTGCATCCCACATGAAATATCTGGACTGACCCTTCAACGCTGAAGAAGCCTTTCCTCTTATTGGTGGACTGAGGAACATCGTCTACTGCTTTGCACTTTTCAGTTACTAACAAACCAATAGGAAACGACACTGTGTGAATATAGCAGCAGGTCAAAGTTGTTTATGTACCAAGAAGCCAAAATTGAAGTATTTTTTTAATAATAAACAATTGTAAGCCCGTAATTTGGATATTTCGGTTTGTCTTTATGTGTTGTGATGTGGCAGGCTGTGATTGGTGACAAAGAGGTCATGTTAGATAATTCTCTGATTTATGTAAATAATAAATCAGATTCTCCCAGGTGAGAGTCAAAGGTTACACTCTTCAAAGTTAAGTATAAATTGGTGTGTGGGAGGAAAAAAAACAAAACAAAAAAACAGAGCCAGCTTTGAAATCAGAGCATGCAAAAGGAGCTTCAGAGCAAACTGGAGGCTGTTGGTTAAATTTATGGATCTGCATTGCGGCAGCCAGGGCTCAGACTGCCAGCACCCATCTGGATGATACGGTTTTCTGTCTAAATGGCTCTTTATTCTCATTTGATGGTCAGCATTTAATGTGAATAAGGTTTCACATATACACTCACCGGCCACTTTATTAGGTACACCTGTCCGGCTGCTCATGAACACAAATGTTGAATCAATCCAGTGGCAGCAACTCAATGCATTTAGGCATGCAGACACGGACAAGACGATCTGCTGCAGCGCAAACCGAGCATCATAGCGAGGAAGAGAGGTTATTTGAGAGACGTTGAACGTGGCATGGTTGTTGGTGTCAGCCGGGCGGGTCTGAGTATTTCAGAAACTGCCGATCTACTGGGACTTTCACGCACAACCATCTCTAGGGTTTGCAGAGAATGGTCCGAAAAAGAGAAAATGCCTTGTTGATGGCAGAGATCAGAGGAGGCTGGCCAGACTGGTTGGAGCTGATAGAACGGGAACACTGACTCAAATAACCAACCAAGGTATGCAGAAGAGCATCTCTGAATGCACATCGAACCTTGAGGTGGATGGGCTGCAGCAGCAGAAGGCCACACCAGGCGCCACTCCTGTCAGCTAAGAACAGGAAACTGAGGCTACAGTTCACACAGGCTCACAGAAGATCGAAAAAACGTTGCCTGGTCTGATGAGCCTCGATTTCTGCTGCGACATTCGGATGGTCGGGTCAGGATTTGGTGTCAACAACATGGAAGCAGGGATCCATCCTGCCTTGTGTCGACGGTTCAGGCTGGTGGTGCAATGGCAGAGGAATGCAGCACATACATTGATTCAAAATTGATTACCAGTTTTTTCCACCCCTGGTCCTCAAGGTACTCTGCCCTGCGTGTTTTAGATGTTCCTCTGCTTCAACACACCCCATTCAGCAAAACTCTGTTATCAGCCATCAATTGAAATCATGTGAATTGAAGAACACGAGTTTGATCCACCGTCAATTGTGAACTTTAATCATAATTTCAACCTTTTTGATCATAATTCAACATTAAATTAACATGTTTTGCAACCTGCAAACAAGCCAACAGTGAAGGGGCTTGTGTGGTTGGGACACTCCTGTGAATGGGGTTGCTGGACCGCTCCACTGATGAGTGACTTATATGTGTTTTTGTGTCAACACATTATGCACAATCAGTAATCATTTTCATGGATAATTAGGAAAAAGCACAGAAAGGAATCAAGGGGTCCGACAAACAGCATACATTGATTCAGCATCGATCAGTCGTTGATCAGAAGATGGCATTCGAATCATTAGAATTCAACCACAAAACAACATTGATTCAATGACATCTCTTAGCTACAATTGGATGATTGATCCATCGTTAATTGTCGACCTCAACCAAAAATCAACCTTTTCGACCAGAATTCAACGTTAGTTTACCAACGCTCGCTATCTGGGACTTGGTATGTGCATGAGACTAATCTCAAAGCTTCTGGCCCTGGTAGATCGGGTCTCTGTTGCCGTTTCAGCTGTTACAGTGAATCAGAGGGATGATAAGCTGCTCTTTGTTCATGTGTCTCTGTCATATATAGGTCATGCTCTTATTGTTCTGCCTCCCCCTCACTGTGTACGGACCGCGTGTGTGGGTATGTGTCACTGTTGTCCAAACAATGCACAACAGCACTACGGGATCGCCTCAAGCTGAGACTGAAGCTCATCACCCAGTACAGGCTACTAGCATCTCAAACCGTGGGAAAAAACACGATGCTAAGTTGAGCATTTCCAACACTGCAGTGAATGTGGCGAGTAATAGTTTTAATTCTCTGTTACATGCCAATGTAAAATGCCAAACCATCCTATCAGTTTCTGTGTGTTGTATTTGGTTAATCCTGAAAATGTGAGAATTGCCCATCGGTTAGATCGGAAACATGAGCCAAATGAGATAAACTGTCATGAGTTGCGGTTAGAGGTGGTGAGGGACTGTAGAGACACGACGGGGATCTGACAGAGAACAAGAGACACATGTGGGACTAAATACACAGGGAAGGTAATCAGGGAACACAAAACACAGCTGGGAGTCTTGTAGCCGCCTTTTGTGGGAGGCTACAAGACGCCCAAAAAAGTCCAAAACCAAAACAACCCAACCAGGGTGGGCAGAGGGGTGCTGGACGGAGAGGCAGAGTCCAAAGAAACAAACTTAGTTAACAAAAAAAAACAAAGGTGGAAAACAGGGAAAACAAACTAAGTCCCAAAATAAACAAAATGGTCAGGGCGGGCGGGGCCTGCCGCAAAAAGTCCGACGAAGGAGGCGGATCCCTCGGAAGAGATCCAGCTGGAGGGCAGGAGGTGGACCCATCAGGGTAGGGCTGGCTATTGGCGCAGGCTGGACCCACCAAGAGGCGGAGGCGGGCTTCAACATAAAATGTGTTGAAGTGGATTTATTCAGAACTGCAAGGTAATTCTGCTCTGACACCCATTTTCACAGTGAGACAGGCTTTGCTACCTGGAGCAATTTCACAACTCATACCAAGTAAAGGGGTACTCAAAGCAAAACAAGAAAAAAGTATTACTTACACAAACGTAACACAATAAATGGTACCAATAAATATTCATATGCAGGCAAATCATTAGAACTAAACTAATCTAAGGTCAATCAAAGAAAAATAAACTTAGTTTAATATAAATCCTCAGATTGCCCTGTGATGGACTGGCGGCCTGTCCAGAGAGACCCGCCTATCGCCTGCTGCTGGAGATGGACACCCTGCAGACCCCGACTGGATAAGAGTGTAAGGTCCAGTTTAAAACAGATCTGTCTGTTTTAAACTGGAACCAGGTCTAAATCTTATGTTTCATGAGAGCAGAAGCCAAGAGGCCAAAAAAGCTTAATCTCAGAGAAAGAAGTGAAAAATGGACAATCTATTAAAATTCGCAGCTCTACATCAAATTTTCAGCCGTATTAGATGTTGGACAGCTTAGAAATGCTGAGAAGCAGCAGATCTGACTCTTTAAGCTTTGTACAAGTATGACTGCTCCCATTAGCTCAGGTTATAACAGGAAATAAGATCAGCTACCATAACTATGCGGATGATACACAGCTCTACATTACGATGTCACCAGGTGACCTTTGACCCCATCCAATCACTGAACAGATGCTTAGAATAGATAGATGTGTGGATGTGCCAAACCCTTCTCCAGCTGATCAGAAACAAAACTGAAATTATCTTTGGGCCTAAAGAGGAACGATCTAGAGTTATAGATCTAGAGTCAATGCACAGGTAAGGTAAGGCGATTTTATTCATATAGCACATTTTCAGCAACAAGGCAATTCAAAGTGCTGCAGCTTCAGTTATTACAACTAAAACCAGCAATCAGCCCCAAATCTGGGAGTAGTGATGGACTCTGCCCTGAACCTTCAGAGCCACATAAAGACAGTCACAAAGTCGGCCTTCTATCACCTGAAGAACATCTCCAGGATTAGAGGACTGATGTCTCAGATCTGTCTGAGCTCTAGAGAAACTCATCCATGCGTTTATCTTTAGTAGCATTGATTACTGCAACAGCGTCTTCATAGGTCTGTGCAACAAATCAGTCAGCTGCAGCTGATTCAGATGCTGCTGCTGGAGTTCTGACTAAAACCAGGAAGATAGAGAACATAACACCAGTTTTAAAATCCTTTACTGGCTCCCTGTAGCTCAGAGGACAGACTTTAAAATATTGTTAGTTTATAAATCACTGAACGGCTCAGCACCACAACAATTAAAGATCTGCTGTTGTTGTACCAGCCTTCCAGACCCCTCAGGTTCTGGATCCCCAGAACCAGAACCATAACTGACCCCATGAATGGAGGAGAAGCTCCATTCAGCTTCTATGCACCACAAATCTGGAACAAACTTCCAGAAAACAGTAAAACAGCTGAAACACTGAGTGCCTTTAGATCTCAACTAAAAACCCTCCTGGTTAGAGTCGTATTTGAAACGTAATCAATTTAATGACGGCACTTGACTTAATGTGATGTTTTGATTGTTGATTCTACATGACTTTGTGTTTTTGTGTTATGATGTAAAGCACTTTGAAATGCCCTGCTGCTGAAATGTGCTACACAAATAAAACTTGATTTGATTGTAGAGTTTGTGGTATGGATCCAAGGAACATTAGTTTCTACTGTTTTAGAGATTAATGGGGTTCCTTAAGTGAATAAATACCAAACATAGATGAACTGTGTCACTCTTATTCTAATGTTCCAGGAGATTCATTTGTATGTTTAAACATATTGATTACAAACTACTAAAACTAGTAAAAGAAGGAATGAATAACTTTATTTAAACAGTCACTCAAACCAGGTCAAATGCAACAATTTGATAGAATAAACAAAAACAGAGCCCAAAATTCAAAACAGATTGTATCAAAGGGTTCAAAGAGATCACGTGTGTCTACAGTTCTACAGGAAGTTAAAAAAAGTCTGCTGCTGAAGGTCGTCTTTTAGGTGTGTTTGGCAGAGATTTGGAACCGGTCTTCTTGGAGAAGTTAGGGGTTTTCTTTGATGTCTTCCTGGAGCCAGTGGACGCTGTGGTGGGCGGAGACTTTAGGACCCCAAACTTTGGTTTTTGCTGTGGGTCAAAGGGCACCCGAGACAAACCTTCTGGACTGAGGAGCAAGCTGCGATCAGTCTTCTTGAACTCTAAAAGACAAATAAATAAATAAATAAATAACAGTAAAGACTTTCACATTTCAGCTCAATTTCAACTTGGAAAACAAGATTTCCACTTCCCAGCAAAATTAATCTGTACATTGAAGAAACAAACTCTATAAATGCTTACTTGGCCCACCAAGTAATATTTAGATAATGACCCTTGCAACCAAGTAACACCGTCACAACATCTGCAGTAGATGTCCTGACCTGTCATCATGGCATCAATACTTGGCCTAGTCCAGCGCTTACCTTTTCTCTTTTTTATGCTTCAAAAAATAAAACTAAGAACAAAATGCTGACCTGCAAACAGTAACTCACTGTCACCGGTTGTTACGCAGCTTCTTACCAGCAGTTTTGTTGTTCTTCAGCCCAAATGTGACTTTCTTTGACTCCGACATGGGGGTCAGCTGTCTCTGTGGAATCAAAGCACAGTCAGTATCTGTGCTCAGTGTTTCCACATGTTCTTAGAAACTACACAGCAGCAGGACTGTGGTTCATCGTTTAAAGCTTCAAATCACTTCTCTCTCACTTCAGGGATATGAACAAAACAACGTTTATGATCATATTTTATCGCAACAATCAAAGCATCACAAACTGCTCTGGAAACTAATTTCTATTGTGTGGAGCTTTGATGTTCATATGTTGCTGCTCTCGATGAGCCAATGGTGGAAAAAAATAGCAAAACAATTCCAACTCTGAGTTTCAGCTAACATCTTCTTGTATATTTTATGTTTATCATAAATAAACCAAACTCATGAGGGAAAAATTGTTTCTGTAAAAGCAAACTATGATAATAACACATCCCTAAGCAGGGGGCGCCGTGTCCGCCTTGTTCCTGGGAGGCTGACTGGGGAAACGATCACGGGTCTTACCACCAGAAGTAGTATTTCACTGTGTAATCGATAGATTTTTGCTAATCGCAGATGCTATATTTATCTTTTCTGTTATTGTAAAATATCATGCAAAACAGTGTTCAATAAGATGTCTTTACAGAGCTCTGCTACGTGTTGTGCTGTCTGTGGCTGTGCTAATAAGACCAAGTTTAATTCGTGATTGCAACAGGCGTGTTTTGAACATGCTCCCAAAACTAAAAAAGAACGTACCTGTGATAAACGGTTTTTATCACAAGCAACCTACTTGCACACTGTGTGCATGTAAAATGTATGAGCAGTAAATATTGTGTTGAACCACAGAAAGCAAGGAATTCAAATTGTGACGCCCTTTATGGGTTAAAGAGACTCAAGAAACTGTAACAGCGGGGGGCCCAATCGAAGTTTTTGTCATGGGGCCCAAGATTCCTGGCGGCGCCCCTGTACCCAAGACACTCCACTAAGTACATAGATAAACAGATTAAAATAAACCCTCCACTGTAAGAAGTGATGCAGTCTCATGTGTCTTCACCTTCGTCCTGGCAGCAGGTGTACCCGGGCTGCCGTTAGTCTTACAGTACAGCGCTGGTGGAACTGCAACTTTTCTCTGAAAGCTGATAAAATCAGACCCTGAAATATTCTTCTTGTTTGTCTTTTTGAGGCTCTGGGGAGTCGATGGCTGTTTGGCTACCTGGAAAAGAAAAGAAAATGTCTCGTTTTGTTTTTACGACACTGATTTTGACGAAACTCCTGTAAAACACGGAGTTCTTCCCGCCAGCAGAACCTTCTCAGAACGTTTCCGCTCCAGCAGATTTACTCTGGTCTGGTTTGCTCTAACCTCTCGTGGTTTCTGTTGATTCTGTTTCTTCTCAGAGTGAAAAGTCCAAGGAAACCAAAATCTGTCAGTACAAACCAGTCTGGTCACGTGTTTATGAGATATGAGATTAATAACTTGTTATCGCAAGCAAAGGGAAAAAAAACTCAATTGAATAGAAACACAGGTAGTAGGTGATACTCAGGCTGTAATCATATGACTGTTTCTCTGTAGTGCTACATGTAAAATCATCTGAAGTACTGCATGACGCTACAAGCTTTTTCCTCTGTTTATTATTAGTTTCCTCTACCGGATCCCACAATACAACACATACCTGACTACAGTAAACCAATTGGCTCAACACCTGTTAGCTGTGCTGACCTGAGGCATAGGCGTAAATCCA